TCACAGTTACGGTGGCTATAAGTAAAAGAAATCAAGGTGTTATCTGGGCCACAGCCCTTGTGAAGGCTCCAGGGGAGGATCTTCCCTTGCCTCTTGCAGCTTCTGATGACCCCGGTGTCCCCTGGTTTGCGGCAGTGTCTCTCCAGTCTCTGGCTCCATCTCCACAGGGTCTCCTCTGTGCATCTGTGTGTCTTTCTGTGTCCTCTCCTCCCCTTGTAAGGACACTCCCATTGGATTTGGGGCCCGCCCTGATCCAGTACCACCTCACCTTAATTACATCTAGAAAGAGCCTATTTCCAAACAAGCTTACGTTCTGAGGCTCTGGGTGGACATGCACTTGGGGGAGAGGGACACGTATCAGCCTGTGATTTGCATTGTTCAGCTACAAACATTTAACACAGAAATTGCTGTTGCTGCTATAGGCCTGTTATTTTCCCTCTTGCTTGAAAAGAGGAGGTAAAGTTTGCTTCTAATCATGTTGCTAATTTCTGGTTAGAAATAAAAATGAGGTTGATAGTCATAAATATGTTTTGAGGTTTGACCATCCGAGAAGGAATAAGTCTATTAGACAAGACAACCTTTGGCATGTCCAGGCAACTATCCATTTGGTCTCCAGTGGGGGTCCCCGCTAATCCTAGGGATGACAGACCCACAGCTGAGCCTTCCATGTAGGCTGGGGTTTGCTCTGCTCCCAGAGGAGTCCACAGCCTCAGCCAATGGGCTGTGAAGGAACCGTGCCACGGGATGGAGCTGTGTCCACTGAGTTTAAGTGGCTGCTGGTGGGTGGACATTCTGAGAAGAGGGGATACTGCATGGCTATCTGTGGCTAACATACCTCATCTCTCTGTAGAGATGAGGTGACTGGCTATGTGGTCCAACTTACAGAGTTTCCAGGAGGCCCTCACGCTCTCTCCAAAACCTGAATTTTTCCCCACTTAGCATTCCTATTTAATAGCTCTTCCCTGGCAGAGCTAACACCTTAAGTGATAATCACATATTTAGAGGTGCATTTGAAAAAGGGCTCTGGGAGTTTTTTTTTTTTTAACATCTTTATTGTGGTATAATTGCTTTACGATGGTGTGTTAGTTTCTGCTTTATAACAAAGTGAATCAGTTATACATATACATATGTTCCCATATCTCTTCCCTCTTGCGTCTCCCTCCCTCCCACCCTCCCTATCCCACCCCTCCAGGCAGTCACAAAGCACGGAGCTGATCTCCCTGTGCTATGTGGCTGCTTCCCACTAGCTATCTACCTTACGTTTGGTAGTGTATATATGTCCATGCCTCTCTCTCGCTTTGTCACAGCTCACACTTCCCGCTCCCCATATCCTCAAGTCCATTCTCTAGTAGGTCTGTGTCTTTCTTCCTGTCTTACCCCTAGGTTCTTCATATTTTTTTCCCTTAAATTCCATATATATGTGTTAGCATACGGTATTTGTCTTTCTCTTTCTGACTTACTTCACTCTGTATAAAAGACTCTAGGTCCATCCACCTCACTACAAATAACTCAATTTCATTTCTTTTTATGGCTGAGTAATATTCAATTGTATATATGTGCCACATCTTCTTTATCCATTCATCCGATGATGGACACTTAGGTTGCTTCCATCTCCTGGCTATTGTAAATAGAGCTGCAATGAACATTGTGGTACATGACTCTTTTTGAATTATGGTTTTCTCAGGGTATATGCCCAGTAGTGGGATTGCTGGGTCATATGGTAGTTCTATTTGTAGTTTTTTAAGGAACCTTCCGGGAGTTTTTTGGTAAGAGATCAGTGAAGGGCAGAAAGGAGTGCCTCCTGTCTCTGCTTGGCTGGTGGTGACAGTGACTATCAATGCATCACTACAAAGCAAAAGAACATCATCAGGAAGTACCCACTGGAACCCTCCTTTGTCCTCCTGAGCTTCATGAAGTGGCGGCACGGGGCAATTCGATTTACAAATGCAACCATATATCCTTCTCTCTGAATCAAAAGAAAGCGAAAGTGGTCTATGTCGGTCCCATGCCAGTCCTAGCGTGAGCTCCTCACCTGGCTGAGCGTGACACAAGTGTTTTTATTTTCATGCAATTTGGCCCCAACAAGGCAAACCTTCCTCCAGGGCCCATCTGAAGGGTGATCGCTTTGAAGGCTTGTGAAAAACTGGGCTTTGTTAAATGTACTAAGAGAGAGATTTTTCAAAGGTAATTTAATTATATGCAATCTTCACCTGAGATGCTACTCCATTCCAGATAGTGTGATTACGTGATATAATGATTTCTGGTTAATAACTAGATATTTTCTGACCAGAGACAGTCAGGTGAGTCTTGAATGCATGGGGTAAGAACTCTGTCGCTTAGTACTTAGTTTTTCCCTAAAAGAGGCAAAAATGAGGAAAAAAAGAGGTGATTCATCATTGTGTAAAGATTAGAAAACACAGCAAAAAGATAAGAAAATAAATGCTGGTGTTTTCACCCACCACCTAGAATAATGACAGATAATATTTTGAGGTGTTTCCTTTTTTTTTTTTTAATAAATTTATTTAGTTTTGGCTGCGTTGGGTCTTCACTGCTGTGCGCAGGCTAACGCTAGTTGCAGCGAGTGGGGGCTACCCTTTGTTGTGGTGTGCGGGCTTCTCATTGAGGTGGCTTCTCTTGTTGCACAGCACAGGCTCTAGGTGCACGGGCTTCAGTAGTTGTGGCACATGGGCTCAGTAGTTGTGGTGCATAGGCTTAGCTGCTCCCTAGCATGTGGGATGTTCCTGGACCAGGGCTGGAACCCATGTCTCCTGCATTGGCAGGCAGATTCTTAACCACTGTGCCACCAGGGAAGCCCCTGATGTGTTTTCTTACAGTTTGCTTTCCTCGTGTGTGTGTGTCTGATTTTGTATAGACATATAATCAGGCTGTGTGTGGTATGTTGGGACCTGTTTCATTGAGTGAGCAAAATATTGTGAACAGTTTTCCATATTCACAAGCACAGAACTATTCTAGCCAAAGAAGGCCCGCAAAGGACTTTCAGGAGCTCACACTTTGGCAGGTGGCTGTGGCCGCGCTTTCTAGAGGCTGAGTTCTTTGGCTGTAGCCTCCCTGGATGTGTGGTCATAGGAGCTGCTGTTCTGGGAGGTGAGACCCTGACCGGAGGGAGCACCGGGCTGCAGGCCTCCGAGGGAAGACCCCGTCCGGGAACGAGCTTGCCTTAGTGCAGATGAAGCTTTCCTGGATTCCTCTCACCCAGCACCACCTTCAGCCTCCCCAAGTCAAGAGGATACTTGTCTTGACTTAGAAGGATGCCCACAAATACTTTCCAAACATGACATGCAGTTTTTAATTTTAATTTTTTTGGGTAAAGCCACTAATTGAATCAAATGTAAACTCATCCTGCTAAACAGATATTCAGAGAATATTTAGGGATCTTCTGTGTAAACCCTTTGAAATAATGTCAGTGGAAACTCACGAGCTTCCTTTGACTTTATCTTGAACATTGGCAAAGCTGAAGGGTACATACCCTTGCCTTTCAATTCATCAATATTGCGTATTAACCCCCAGAGGTTGTGTATGAGCCACGGTGCTTAACCTAACTCTCCAAAAATAAGGGGCTCATGATTTTCTTTAAATTGGCACTTATGCAGTGGAATCTCTCAGGCATTAGTGCTTACTTGATTGCATTCAGACACCACTCTGGCAAGGGAATGACTGCACTAAATTAGCATCAAGCACAATGAATGGTAATTGCAAGACTGTCATTTCTACAAGTGCAAAATTAATGTGTTCTGCAAACCCACTGCACTGTGTGCCACGGGAAAATCATGGAGCCATGCTGTTCCAAGCAGAAGAACGCACTGTAATAGCGGTGGTAACGTGCTGTGGATTATTCAGCAAAGGTGTTCCTTTCCACCTTTGCTGTTGTCTCACGCTCATTCTTCAAGCCCTGCCTGACCTAATTTCTATGCTCATGTTATAGCACCGCCAGACAGTAGCCTGGATGTACAGAGAATGTTATGGAACAATTCCTCCTTCTGTGTGGCATCTTGTGTGAATAATGCCAGCCTAAACAACCCTCCAAGTATTCATGAGAGTATGAATAGGCTACTTATGTAAAGCTTCTTATAAAGAGATGCACCAACTGTTTACAGAGAACTTTACCCAAATGCTATACATTCATTAGAAAGAGAAGAGTGATTTACACGCATTTCAACTGTAGCTTAAGAAGACTGCCAGCCCTGCCTCTCCCCATCTCTCCCGTTTACAAGTGGGACAGGAAGCCACAGGCCAGTCGAATGAATTTCTTCCGGTCATGCAAGATCACAGGGTATACCCCGAATGACAACAAGCATAAGCACCAGGCTCTTGGAGTCAGCTGATTGGCTCTGCAGAATTTATTAGGGATTAATCACTCAAGACTGAAATAATGCAGTAATAACAGACCTATTAGATGTGGTATCTCAGTATTCCTGCGGTTTAGTGGAGGCTGAGAACCTCCCACAGAGGGGTCCTATGGAAGACGGATACTAAAGATAGTGACAGTAACTGGCCAGAGGGCTTTCTTGTGAGTCCAGCTTGAATCCAATCTCTTAGCAGCTGGGGGAGGGGGTGGGCATTAAAACCACTGGGCGGCACAGATAGATTCACTGCAGTGATCTACGGGTCCAAGATAATGTGCTGACCCTCTGACTCCCCTGAGTGGGAGGGTCAGGCCCAAGTCCTCTTTCAGTGGCCGCTTACTTTGTCACTCACCATTAAGGCATGATACGGTTATTTGACTTGTAATGTTCCAGCCAGTGAAAAGTTTGCTGGAATTTGGGGGAAACTCTGCACCACACTCAAAGATTCTCTCATCTTAATGAACAACAAAGATTAGGGAGTGGTTTAGGAGACTTCCTGCCTCAGGTGGGAGAAGAATTCCAAATGCCTTTTACCCTCAGAATGAAGTATGCCTGGGTACAGCGGAAAAACCATTCAACAGATGATCTGGACTTCAGAGATGTCTAAAAATGGCTTTGGAAACTGGCTTGACTTACCTTTGTTGCAAAATGTTCCATCATAGGCTGTGTTGGAGCAATCGCAGGAATACCCATGGTATTTCTCTATGCATTTGCCTCCATTCTCACAGTTCGCCCCGTAGCTGGTGCAGTGGCCCGAGCACCCGGATTTGAACCCGGATGTGACCTTTGCTCTTTCTTCCAGGTCCAGTGTCACCCCATTCATCCTCAGGGAGCGGATGCAGCCCAGAAAGCCCTGCTGGCCCCCGGCACCACCTGGAAAGACAGAAGGCACGGAGCTCAGATAGAATAACCTCTGCTGTGGCTTCTGTTTCATTCATCATTCCTCGGACCACTGTGGTGGGAGATGAGACTGCCAAGTGCAGGGGGCATGCTCACTGTCAAGTTGGTCCTGCCTAATAGAAGAGCTTGTAGCTTTTTCCCCTTAGGCTATAATGCCTGATTAAAAGAGACTGTCTTCTGCAAAGCAATACATTTGCTATAGTACTAAAATGTTTGGAGACACACACAGATTATATAAGCTGTTTTGGAAGTTTAATCTGGTTTCCTATAGAAAAGAAGTTTACAGAACTCTCTAAGTTCTTTGGTTTTTAATCTCATGGCATTCAGTTCCATAGCATTATCTATTGGAAGAGATATAAAAAGGCAGAGGGACATGAATATATTAGCATAGTTAACAAGTCAATTAGCCAGACAAAGTAGATCCATTTGGAATGTAATTGTAAGTCCTGGTTCTTGTCTCAAGAAATGCTTTGCTTTGAAATTCATGTTAAGGGTTCCCAGGGCTTCTTGTTTGGGGTGGTTGGAAATTGGAATTGAGAATTTTACACGGAAGTCAGCTACACCACATTTATTACCAGGTCAATTCAGATTCTACTGCTTTTGTCTAAATGCCATTGCAAGACACATAACACACAAAACAAATTCACTGTACTTTTCTCAGTAAGTTATGGAGTTAGAGGTTCATGAGCATGAAAATATTAAAATATTCCTAATAAATTTCATAGAACATTGGAGAATTATATCACAGGTGGATTGTATCTATAATAATCTTAGCTATGATTTTTTTAAGCAGCTGGTACGAAAGGAGGAACTCAAGTTTATAAATATGCCTGTATTTTAGACTAACATCTTTTCTAGAAATTAAATTAAATGATAGTAGTTAAAATTATTAAAAGAAATCTGATGGGGATTTAGAAAAAAGATATGGTTAATAAAGTGAAAGTTACTGTTTATTGAGGGCTATGTAGTAGGTACTCTACTAAGCATCTCACATATGATATTCACCTGATTCTCACAACAACCTGGCGAGGTAGGCATTGTTACCTTAACCCCATTGTACAGATAAGGAAACTGAGGCTTAGAGAAATTAAGTCGTGTACTCAAGGACTCATAGCTCCGAAGTGCCAAAGCAGTGTCAGATCTGTCTTATTCTCGAGCCTGTGGTCTTAAACTCTGTTCTGTGTGTATCGTCTAATGCAGAAGAACTTCAGGGTCTGGGGCACCACAGACGTACATGCTTCTGACATAAAGATCTGCATGTCTTTAAAAATGGCATGGTCAATAGGACTGGCAGACTCTGGGCAAGTTTGCACACTGGAGATTGATTCTGATCACTTACTCCAGTATCTTGAGAAAAAGTGTGCCATCTAGACGGCTCATCAGACAGGGCTGGTGGATCAAAGGCTTTAGCTGCAGAGATGGATTAGCCTTTGCTTATGCCTGTGAATCCTCAGCCGTGAAATAGCAAATGACTTGCACTATTATCTTTATAAACCCAAGCCTTGCAGTTCTCTCATTGGGCAGTGCATAGATTTGAGTGATGATTCTCCAGGGATTGTTATTTTTTAATAAAATATTTAAATAGAAGAGGATTAATTGAAGGGATCCCAATGCCCCTTTTGATTAAAGGTATGGGAGAGTAGACAGCAAAAGAAATGATTAGAAACAACCACTCTGAAGGATTTCCCATTTTGCAATCTGCTCACCAGCACCGCTGCACCTCTGGGCTAAGGGGAATTTGGCCCTTTGCTATGATCTGGAAGAATTTCAATCCAGTAGTCACTCTTTGTGTGACGAAATTTCAATTTGGCGTCTATCGTTTTAGCAGCTATGGCTTTTATTCTTGCAATAAGGCTTTCCAAAGGGCCTTTTCGTTCAATAAATGCCTAGCCGTTTAAATTTTCATCACTAGTCAATTAAGACAATTATATCCTATCAAAATATGCTGACATTTTTAAATCGTTGTTTTTAGATGTGTGCCTCTCCTCTCCCCTGGTTGCAAATGTAATAGTTTTTCATTGTGGAAACCATAAACACACTGATAAGCAAAATGAAAAAGAGAATCTGTAATGTTACTCAGATAGAAGGACTTTCACTTTTAGCAAATAGCCTTTTCTACTTTTATCTATGAACATACATATGTATAAAAAATAAAGAAAAAGTGGGGTATATGCATTGTTTTGAAATTTGCTTTTTTCACTTAATATATCATAAAACATTTTCCCCAGCAATAAATATTCAACTAGAACATCTTGCTTAACATCTGCATAGCAGCCCACCCTGTGATGCACTGTAACTTACTTTGCCATTCCACTACCACTGGACTTTTTAAAGTTTTAAAATTTTTTAGTTTAATTTTACTTTTTTACTAAGTAAATAAAAAAATTTTTTTTAATTTAACATCTTTATTGCAGTATAATTGCTTTACAATGTTGCGTTAGTTTCTGCTGTATAACAAAGTGAATCAGCTATATGTATACATATATCCCCATAGCCCTTCCCTCTTGCGTCTCCCTCCCACCCTCCCTATCCCATACCACTGGACTTTAAAGCTTATTCCAATTCCCATTTTATATGATACTATAATAAATATCCTTGTAAAAACCTTGACATACTTGTCCAGTTTTTCCTTAGAATTAATTCTTAGAAGTGTAATTGCTAGGTACAAGGGCATAAACATTTTAAAGTCATTTGCAATATAATTTCCTCTCAGAAGACTTTATCAATTTGTATTTCACCAATAGGGTATAAGATTCCTGCCTTCTCCACACCAATTCTCATACTAGGCAGGATACTTTTGAATTTATAGGCTAGAGGGGGGGAAAAAAAAAAAAGAGTTCATTCTTTTAATTTGCATTGCTTCGAATACTGTGGGTTGAATAATTTTTATGTTTTCCTCACTCTTAGTTTTTGTTTCTCCATGACCTTTGCTTTTTTGGGAGAAATAGAATATAGATTTCTTACTGATTGGTAGCAATATTTGGGTCTTATTTATTTATTTTTTATTCATTTTATTTACTTATTTTTGTCTGCATTGGGTCTTCGTTGCTACGGGTGGGTTTCTCATTGTGGTAGCACACAGGCTCAGCTGTTCCACGGCATGTGGGATCTTCCCGGACCAGGGCTCGAACCCATGATCCCTGTGTCGGCAGGCGGATTTTCAACCACTGTGCCACCAGGGAAGTCCCGGGTCTTTAATTTTTTGTTATAAATTCAGCAACTAGATCCTTCCAGTTTGTGTTTGTTAACTTGTATATAATGTTTATGTAGTCACATGCATCTATCTTATTTTTATGATTTCTGCCTTTGATATTAGGCTTATAAATACCTTCTCTAATCCAAAAGAATATAATTATTCAACTGTAGTTTCCTTTAGAACTTTTATGGTTTTACCTCGTTTAACATTTCATTCTTTAATCTATCTGGAATGTGTTTTAATTTGGAAATAATTGACATTTAAGGGTGTCAGCAATGGTCGAGAGTCTGAGGAGATTTTTTTAAAAAGACTCTTTAAGTGAATGTTAATATGACCAAAAAACCGGACATTTAGAAAGCATCAATTGGCAGAGAAAGTACATCTAGATTAGGTCATATTTTACTTACATCATTTAGGTAAACATTTCGATATATGTATATATGCTTCATTATGTACATACACAGGCTTCATTCAGTAAGGGGATTTAGGGGCAGGTTTTTCTGTCTCTCTGCCTCTCTGATTCTTTCTGGTCTTGTTCTTTCTTATTTTTTTTTTTTCCGGTACGCGGGCCTCTCACTGTTGTGGCCTCTCCCGCTGCGGAGCACAGGCTCCGGACGCACAGGCTCAGTGGCCATGGCTCAAGGGCCCGGCCGCTCCGAGGCATGTGGGATCTTCCCAGACCCGGGCACGAACCCGCGTCCCCTGCATCGGCAGGGGGGGG